GCTACCAGTGTGTGTGGCGGGGACGCGTGTGTAGAAGCACACGTGTCCCAGTCAGGTCAAGATCGATTCGGGGAAGATCCAAGCAAAGATCGTGCATAAAATCCTGCACGGGTCGGGCTACACGGGCTTTGCAGCAGCTTTGCAGCAGCTGAAAACCGCAGGCAGCAGCTGAGGAAACGACAACAAGCACAGCGGGGGGGAAGCAGAGACAGAAACGACAGCACAGACAGCATCGACCGGAGTGCGGTGGTGGCACGTGTGCACAGACACACACAGGGTGGTGCCTGTCCCGTCGACGTGCTTGCTTTGCGGAAGATCCAAATAGAGTTGATCGGAGATTGTGCGAAAAAGTCGGCCTGGAAGGTTTCCGAGGAAGAAGAGTTCAGGCACCGAGAGAGGAAAATCCGCGTGGAGAAGCGTGGAGAGATATTGTGGAGAAGGGAAACATAAGAGGTAGCAGTGAAGGGGCNCAGGGTGGTGCCCGTCCCGTCGACGTGCTTGCTTTGCGGAACATCAAAAAAAAAAAAGAGTTGATCGGAGATTGTGCGAAAAAGTCCGCCTGGAAGGTTTCCGAGGAAAAAGAGTTCAAGCACCGAGAGAGGAAAATCCGCGTGGAGAAGCGTGGAGAGATATTGTGGAGAAGGGAAACATAAGAGGTAGCAGTGAAGGGGCTGGAAGAGGTGAGAGCTTGTTGAAGTCAGTTTGGATCCATTGCGGCGACGATCCACTGACCGTAGATCGTACAAGCCGGATCCGCCGCAAATTGCCCACAGCGTAGGACGCAGCAGCAGCAGCAGCAGCAGCAGCAGCGGCAGAGGCAGCCGCACGTACCGACGAGAGGGCAACATCGGAACACGTGTGCGCGACACACACACGTGGTCCCGGAGAGAAGTTTTCGAGAGATCCAAACAAAAGCTCGATCGGAGATCCTGCAGCCTCGCTTCTGGAAGAGTCAGCGGCAGGAGCAGCTCAGCGTGGTGAGAGGAAGATCAGGGGACAGGCAGCAGCAGCAGCAGCGGGAGGAAGCAACAGTCAAAGGGGCCGAGGAGAAGGAAGCTTCGAGACACGCATGCTGGGAGCATGCACACACGTGGAGGCCCGAACGGAACTGTGCTCGCGACCCCGTGATCGATTGGAGATCGAGCAAGGCGGTCGCTAGGTCCAGCAGCAGCAGACGGAGCCGAGGTACCGAGAGCAGGATTGGGTGCAAAGAGCATCTAGAATATCTCTGAAACCTGAACAGAAGATTGACAGATTTCAAAGGAATGGCAGATCATTACTCAGTAGAAACCTTTGAACGTACGTCGGCGGCATGCACATGTTCCGCGCCCAGTTGTTGTCGTTGACTGTTTTGGCGTCTTTCTTAGGAGTGCGACGAGAAAACGATACGGTGTCGGGAGTGCTGAGGGGGGAGGGCTTGGCCCTTGTGGTTGCAGGTGGCGGGAAAGTAGGAACAGGGGGTGGCAGTGTCGGGGGGTCTGGGGGAACATGGGCTTGAATGGGGATTACCTCAGAAAGAGCAAGACGGCGGATGTTTCTCTCTTGGTGTGACCGGTGGCAGTATCGATCAGCACTGCCGCACAGACTTTTGCGCGCCGAAATATGCGTGCGACAGCTTTAACCTAACCACTTCGGTGGAAAGCGGATTTCTGTTCGATACGGTGTCGGGAGTGCTGAGGGGGGAGGGCTTGGCCCTTGTGGTTGCAGGTGGCGGGAAAGGAGGAACAGGGGGTGGCAGTGTCGGGGGTCTGGGGGAACATGGGCTTGAGTGGGGTTTGCCTCAGAAAGAGCAAGACGGCGGATGTTTCTTGGTGTGACCGGTGGCAATATCGAACAGCACTGCCGCACAGACTTTTGCGCGCCGAAATATGCGTGCGACAGCTTTAACCTAACCACTTCGGTGGAAAGCGGATTTCTGTTCGATACGGTGTCGGGAGTGCTGAGGGGGGAGGGCTTGGCCCTTGTGGTTGCAGGTGGCAAGGAAGTGGGAACAGGGGGTGGCAGTGTCGGGGGTCTGGGGGAACATGGGCTTGAGTGGGGGGTGTCTCAGAAAGAGCAACACGGCGGGTGTTTCTCTGTTGGTGTGACCGGTGGCAGTATCGATCAGCAATGCCGCACAGACTTTTTTGCGCCGAAATATGCGTGCGACAGCTTTAACCTAACCACTTCGGTGGAAAGCGGATTTCTGTTCGATACGGTGTCAGGGGTACCAGGGAAGACGGGGCCGAGTTTTGATTGGTTTCGGGTGGATGAGGTTGGGGTTTTGTTCGTTTTTCTCCAATCTAAGGTTCGTGCGTAGAGTTCAGCTGTAGTGTTTGGACCAAAGTTTTATTGACTTAGATTAGAGGCAAACATTCCTAGCTATTGGGCATCGAGTTAATTTGGCTTGGCATGACGGCCTTTACGATCGACTTTTNGTAGTGTTTGGACCAAAGTTTTATTGACTTAGATTAGAGGCAAACATTCCTAGCTATTGGGCATCGAGTTAATTTGGCTTGGCATGACGGCCTTTTCGATCGACTTTTTATGTATGTCTGCATTTATCTGCAATTGCCGGAGAGCAAACAAAATAAGAATAATAAAAAAATGGGCAGCCCGCGGTCTCAAAACCCGGCACATTCGACGCCGCGGGGAAAAACAAAAATAGATAGGGTAGTCTACAAACCACGAAGAAGAAAACAAAATGATATAAGTAGAAAGAAAAGAACAGGTATCGCACCGACCGTTCGAGAAAAGAGCCCTCGGAAACCGATCAAAATAAAACAACAACAACAAAGATAAAGGAGGACGCTTCCCACACCCGCCCAAAGAAAAAATCAAAGGGTAACGTACCAGTACCCTGTTGTGTCGTATTCCCTCCAAAAAAACTTCTAGGGGGTCTGTGACAGTATCAACGAGATACATCCCCCTTTTTGAAAAAATGTGGTTGTTAATACCCGGGTGGTTGGTATTAATACCCGCCGCTACTCCGTATTCTCTTTTTTCTATCTTTTGATCTCTGAGGACAATCCACATCATCATCATCAAGCCCTCAAGAGAGGTGGTGGAGAGTGCCATCAAACCCATGCAACAGCGGAGAGTATATGGTTTTCCGCGATGTGTGGCAGTACTACAGTACAGCACTCACTGTGAACAGCAGGGGCGGGGGGGGGACTCTGCCCCCTACCAAAAAGATGCACTTCTGTTCAGCTAGCTTGGGAGGGGGTTGGGAGCACCGCATATTTTTTATGTCGTAGTCTAGGGGTATCGCACCATCACGTTTCTTATTGAGGCGTTTGTCACGTTGTGGCCGAGATTGAGCTATGTTTCTTGGCCCTTTTTGCTTATTTTTCGTACAAAGTTGAGCCTTTTTTCTTACAAAAATTTTCTTAACTGCGGGCGCTATCTGTATTGTTTGTACGCGAAGGGAAGGGGTGGCGAGTAACGTGAGACGCAGGACCTTCTTTCGAAGACCGTTAATTCGTGTACTCATGAAACTCAACAGAGCCGTAGAGCCAAGCCGCGGGGGGAGGTTCAGGGAACTCTTCGCGATGATATATATGTGGAGGGAAAAGCCTTCAGGGTAGCTTTTGGTCTCCGACGGGACAGTGATATGATGTGCTGGTGGTGTTCCTGGGTGCGACGCTGAAATACGCTAGTTTTTTTTTGTTTCTTCATAAGAATGGTTCAAAGCATTTGTTGGACATCAGCTTTTACAAGAGGACATCAACGCAGTAGTATTTTAGCAAGCTTACGAACGCACGTAGGATACCATGAGGATTGTCATTGGTTTTATTTCAAATTGAAGGAGATATTTTTACGATGTAAGTGACAGTGAAAATAAGTCCTACATATATATGTTGTTGTACTTCGTATTGGTTTAATATTCATGTAGAGTATGAGACATGAAGTGAAAGTTTTCTGAGGTACATCTGCAATTGTCGGAAGGCAAAAAAAGAAAAAAATGAGATAAATATATGTCTACTTTGACTGTCCTGCTTCCGCTGCCGGCGATGCAGTACATTAGTTGGCCAAGTACACACTGGTGTACTGTAGTTGTTTTCAACACATCCCCGACTGCTGTACATCTCATTCCAAATATTGTAAATAAGTTCGACGTCAAAAAGCGGTTGCCCGTCGTCTCGGCGACGCTGACTTTTCGTACCGCCCCCTTCCTTAGCAAAAGACGCGTAGTCTGAGGTATAGCATGCCTCGATTGGCCCCGGGGATGGTGAGCTATGTTCCCCTGAATTTTACGGACGCAACCCCATTGCAAGGACGCTTTTTTCAGGAAAAACCACGTGCGTCCTTAAAGCGGAGTCGACTGTACAAAGGACTTCTGCAGATGACCATTTGTAGGTGGTGGTTACGGATCGGGGAAGTGGGCTCGGTGTCGTCCCACTACCAACGGACATATAGCGGAAAATACGAAAGGACCGTATCGCTAACGTGCCTGCCGGCCTTTTGCCAAACACCATGCATCTAATCGCCACGGTATTCTAGTGGCCAGGGTCATGGGTACGACTCCCAGCGTAAGCGAGCTTTTCTTGCAAAGTGAGTTCTCTCACTCTTGTTCCTGGCCTGGGTGGAAAGCGCTACTGTAGCTCGTATGCACACAGAGGTAAGAGAGTGCTGCACTCTGCTCGCGTTGACAATCGAAGGCAGAGTACCGCAGGAGGGGTGGGTTGGGGGCCTCAGGGAGGGGAACCGTTCTGTGTGACCACGGGTTGGAGTAATCGGCACAGGTGCTGTGAGCGATGCTTGAATTGAAGACAACAAAACAGGAAACACAACCAAATGCATACCTAACGATCGCGTCGGTCTGTCATTTTCCTGTTGGGTGGTGTGGTGGGCTCAGAAATTCTGTATTGCGTGGTGTATTGGTGAAACCCCGGGCAGCTGGTGGTTCGTAGGTGTTCATCAACCTACACAGCTACAATATTCCATTCACCCGTTAGAATTTGGAGTACAGCAGGGATCACTCGAAATATGAGGGTGGATTCCCACACATCACATTGCCTGTGAACAGTATCCAGGAGCTACTACCCGACCATACTATGTTTTTCGCGGCATCGTTTGACAAGTTGTGGACGTGCAACACGGTCCTACCAGGGCACCAACGGTCGAAAGCGTCAACGCGAACGTCATTGTGCACATTAGCGCCTCCAGCTACGACGAAGGTTCTTAGTGCTTCGCGGCTTCGGTTACATTGCTCCGCTGCTCCGTCAAGCTCAATTAACATCCCTCAAACACAGAACAAGATTGCTATTGCTACACCTGTGAAACAACGCTCAGTCCGGGTCTCTCACGTAATAAGCACAAGGAGCCGACAATGGGATTGAGAGGTTGGCGTAAAGTGCATCTGGTCACCATCTGTTTCATGAAAGGACATCGGATGTGTGTAAACTGCCTTGCCTATTGCCTAGTAGACCCGCATGAACACCGGGCACTCCCGACATTTTCTTAACGTCCATCGCCGAGGGCATCAGCAAGAAATGCCATGTCCCAAAAAAAAATATGCAAATTTGGTCGTTCGCTTGAGCAGTGACCGCTATCCCAGGAAAGGCGTCGATGTCGTCTCCATTCGGTCCATCACACCTGCTCACGAAACAACGCATCAACACGGGCTTTCAATGGGTTTCCAATTCGAACCCGCAAAGAGGCAAACGTCGACTCACTGGCGAGCGGGTTACCACGGTCGATGCAAAATACAGAAACACAAACACACACACACACCAGATATTCGCGCGATGAGTAATGCACAAGGCTTGCCTACTAGACGACTCCACTGCGAATCAACCTGTTATCGCCCTTTGCTCCAGCTCGTTCTGGGTGGCAATGGTGTCAGGGTGGCTGCTCCCCAGAGCCTTCATGCGGATTGAAAAACTCTCTCCAAGAGAAGAACTGCTTGATCGCGCTTCCCCTGTGAATGTACGATACGTTTTGCTCGGCGCGGAGACATCGCACATTCTCAGTCAGGCTGAAACACAGACAAGGCGCGCAACACTGCAACCGCGAGGAAGGGTCCGCCTCGTCCTACACGCCCTGTCAAGCAAGCAACGGGGCTGCTGCAACGTGAAGCGCCACAGCTATAAATATAAGACAAATCAATACGAACGCCAGAAATGAAAACAATCTTCCTACAAACCGGGTGTCTGGCACCTGTGTCTCAAACAAGCCCGCCCGGCCGTGCAGTGCGATAGCCAGGCTACCTCGCACATCAAGCCCGCCCGGCTGTGCAGTGTGGTGGCCACGCTCGGATGCGGTTCAACCGTCAACCAACAACCACGCGCCCTGGGCGCCCTCCTTTTCCGACCAACATCAACAGCTTCACCGTACTTATTGTCTGCCTCCATCTACGCGCCCTGTCAATCAAGCAACGGGCCGCGGCAAGTCCAACCGCAACAAATACCACAACACACAAAACAACCTACGGCAGAGCTCAAAAAGATTGTTCAACGAACCGGATGCCTCGCACCTGTTGCTTCAATAAGCCCGCCCGGCTGTGCAGTGTGGTCGCCACGCTCGCATGCTCAGGGCCGAGAGCCTTGTCAATTGCAAGACACCGATCATACAGCGCCTTAGCCTCGGCGAGATTACCCTGAAGTGTACACCACAGCGCAGCCGAGTCGCAACTTCGCTGGTTTCGCGTCGAATGACAAGAAAAAACGCCAGCGGGGTTCATTGGCTTCGGCGCTATCACGACCAGTGGTTCAACCGTCAACCAACAACCACGCGCCCAGGGCGCACCCCTTTTCCGCCCAACATCAACAGCTCCACCGCACCAACGGTCCGCCTCGTCCTACGCGCCCTATCAAGCAAGCAAGGGGCCGCGGCACGTCCAACCGGAACAACTACAGCGACACACAACAACACAGATGACGGCGGAGCTCGAAACGGTTGTCCAACGAACCGGATGCCTCGCACCTGCTCCACCATCAAGCACCTCCGGCCGTGCAGTGTGGTCGCCACGCTCGCATGCTCAGGGCCGAGAGCCTTCTCGTAGATTGCAAGACACCGATACAGCGCCTCAGCCTCAGCGAGCTTGCCCTCAAATGTACGCCACAGCGCAGCAAAGTCGCACCGTCGGTCGTTTCACTTCGAATCACAAAACCGAACGCCAGCGCGGACCGTTGTCTTCGGAGTAACCACGACCAGTGGTTCAACCGTCGACCAACAACCACGCGCCCACGGTGTACCCCTTTTCCGCCCAACATCAACAGCTCCACCGCACCAACGGTCCGCATCGTCGTATGCGCCTTGTCAAGCAAGCAACGGGCCGCGGCAAGTCCAACCGGAACAATTACAACGACACATAACACAAACGACGGCAGAGCTCAAAAAGATTGCCCAAGAACCGGATGCCTCGCACCTGCTCCACCATCAAGCCCGCCCGGTTGTGCAGTGTAGCCCACACGCTCGGATGCTCAGGGCCGAGAGCCTTCTCGTAGATTCCAAGACACTGATCATACAGCGCCTCAGCCTCAGCGAGCTTGCAATCAAATGTACGCCACAGCGCAGCGCAGCAGAGTCGCACCGTCGGTCGTTTCAGTTCGAATCACAAGACCGAACGCCAGCGGGGAGAATTGGCTTCGGAGTTACCACGACCAGTGGTTCAACCGTCAACCAACAACCACGCGCCCAGGGCGCACCCCTTTTCCGCCCGAAATCAACAGCTCCACCGTACCAACGGTCCGCCTCATCCTACGCGCCCTGTCAAGCAAGCAACGGGCCGCACCTTGCTACTGTGCTTGGCGACGAGTGACGAGCCGCACCTTGTCCCTCAACTTCCGGAGCTCATCTTTCGCAAAATCTATCACCAGGTCGTGTAGGTAGTAGGCGTGCTCTTCGACCTTCACGAGGGACTAGTCGACAAGGCCGTCCAGTAAACGCGTTGAATCGTCATGATCCTTGGCACACCGACAAACCAAGCAAGACAAGCAGTGAGTAACACAAGTGGCGAATGCAGACACTTCCTGAAATGCATGTGGATCGAAAACCCCATTACCCCGTGCACTCACCAGTTCCCACAAATGAGCGACCATGTCGACCGGGGCCCTTGCCCCCTTCGCCAACACGCCAAGCTTACAGAACCGCGTTCTAGCCCCCCCCCTTGGGCTCACGGAAGCTGACGGCAAGAGCACCTCCTACAGGATCTTGCACGAGTTGTGGCTCTTGCCGGAGCAGTGCGTGAATGCCCCTCCAAGTGTCGGCAGAGTCCGGGTCTGCTCGCAAGCTACCCATAGCGCCGACGATGGCAAGGGGCAGGGGGGAAAAGCCGCAGTCATCGACCACCTGCGCGGGAGATCCGGTTGACGTCATGCAGAAAACGATCGAAAGCCCAAAACAAATGGTAGTCCTTGAAATTTCCACCCAAGCAACGAGTGCCGTTTACAAACTCGCCCACCGAAACGTGTGCCTGTCTTGCACGAATTTGACGCTTCTCCACAGCGCAGTCTGCGACGAGTTTCTAATGAAGGCGCACAAGGTGGTACAGGGATACACTGTATGCAGCTGTAGATAGCGCTGTGCAAGAGTACACAATCTCAACGGCATCTTCCCACCTTCAGGCCCTCGATCGTCGGAATGGCGGCAGTTACTCGACTTGCGTTCTTCAGGAACTCCAAAGCCTCGGCGTTGGTGAGCATCTCGACCTCCGTACACACTCCCCGCAGCTCTCGGGGAATCACCGAAAGGTCGCGTGCAGTCACCAAGGAATCGAACCCTATGCGCAGAAACAACAGGACAATCTGTGCGTCCCACACATCATCGAGTACCACCAGGCACCGTAAGTTGCCCGTGCCAACCTGCCCCACTTGCACCCAGAACATCCCGTCCTTGAAACTCCGGCGAACGTCCTCGGAGCGCACCACTGCATTGGCTGCGACGGTCTTGCCCCCCCCCGGGCATACCACGGAGCACATGGGCCGCGTTCGTCGCTCGACCCATCACCACTAAGTCCTGCACAGTAGCTTCGATCAGGTGCCTCCTCTCCACAATCGCCGGTGGCAGTTGTGGGGCGTTCTTGGGTACTCTGACCATGTCGCCCGTGCCGGGAAGCAGCGTAGCCCGAAAGACATCATAAAACGCGAGCAGAGTCACACCTTGGATGGCGTCCCAAGTACGGCGGAGCTTCACTTTGAAGTCTTGCACGTGTTTCCCGTCCTTCCGACGGCAGAGGAGTGCCATGCATTTTCCTCTTGCCCCCAAGCTTGTGGCACGCTTCGCGAGCTCGATCGTCGTGGCGACAAAATCCTTCATGGGCTTTGGGACCGGCCGCAGATTGCCCTCCTGTTGGCCGTGCTCGATGAACACATCCACTAGGAACGAGCACTAAGAAACCAGCTTCTCTAGGTTCTCGGCTACCTCGATGGCGCCTTCTGCAGCCTCGATGAGCATTGTAAAGGCCTTGCACACGGGAGTGAGAGGGCCCCCACTCGCCATGTCCAGCAGGCCAACGGTGGCTAATGCCATCCACTCCAATGCCTCTCCGATAGCCTCCGGGCAGATGTTCCACTCATTCCCGGGCCTGCAGTCCCGCGTGAACAACGCAGGCCAAGGCTTCCTACTGGCAAGAAGCTGCTCGACCTCCTGAAACACCTGGGGGGAGGTGGACGGGGTTCAGCGTAGGCTACGAGCGTGAGGGTTCGAACGATTGATGGCATCGACGGCGCAATGTTCAACCACGCAAAAAGGGCAGATCAAAACACGAGGCAAAGGCGAAACGTTACGTTCTTCCATCATAATTCTACCATCTGCGTGCGTCTCGAATGTACCACGTTATCGTTCCCAGACATAGACCTCTCATATCACTGCGCCACATACGCACGTCACACGGCTGAATGAACATAGTTTGCACCTAGCGATTATCGCCATCCGGCGGCGGGGCTCTAACCCTCTCGTGCATCATCCTTTATACTCGCGCTCCCTGTTTTTCGTTGGTTCTGTTAATTTGAAATACCCTTTGGGCGACCATCCAACAAACCCGGACACACGTGTTCACTACCAATGCCCAGCGTGGTCCAGCTACAATTAATACCACCGAAGGAATGCCAGTGGTACGTGTCAAGTGTATGATACTCGACTGGCTTGACAGGCACTGGAATTGACGAGCTCGTACAGATGGACACCGCTGTTTGCCGAGCAGCACAAGGCAAGGGTACACACGTTGTCCCGAGATACCGCAAAAACCCGTCGTGGCCCCAAGGGATGGTCCAGCGTGGACGCTGGGCCTTACGTTCTGTTGTATTGCCGGATGCTGTCCTTCGTGTAACGGTCCTTCTCAATAATACGAGCTTAGATTATACAGTAGCGTTTTCTACTTTTCGTGTCCCCACTGTTTCCTGGATGGCCGTTGCCGAATCGTAGGAACTTGTGTGGTTCGCGATTTCTGAGGGCTGTTCAAGCTATCTGCCCACACACAATTATTCTTGTTAGCGTTTCCCCGTAATGTAGCGCATTCGGGGTCACCCTAGCGCCAGACGCGTACACTTGGACATATATCGGTGGAAAAAAAGGTTAACTTCCAGATATTCTAAAGTCTGCCCCGCACTACTAGAACGCCATACGCCGCCGAAAATCCGACAACGAACATTGCCGCGATACATTGGTTGAGCCGTGCCCGCCAACGCTGTTGTCAAGAAAAAACACACACTTCCCGCCGAGAACATTCCTGTTAACGAATTGGGGTACCACCGGTAATGTAGCCTGTACCGCCAAAAAAAGCGGGACCAGAAAGTATCCTGAACATTCCAAAATGTCCTACCTTTGCGGTTACGGTCCCGCAGTTCCTGCCTGAACGCTGCCACCGCTGGAGGGAGCTCGCGCTGCCATCTACTCCGACTCTGCTGGGCAGCACCTCCTCCTGCTGGTGTCTTGCTGTCGTCGCTACACCAAGGGTAGCCTGGCCAAATCGGTAAGTGGTAGGATTCGTTGCGCGGAGAAACGGTCATGTCGGCGAAACGGTCGGTAGATGTGCTCGCGAAGCGCTTTGTTTTGAGGCAACAAAACACACCACGTTTTTCCGTGGCGACCGATCTGCTGTCTGGTACCAGGCGACGACGTTGAGGGAACGGCTAAAAAATAATCCTTACACCACTTTTCCTGGATGATGGTAACTGGCCAATGCAACCGTTGACCCTCACCCGCGGGTTTGATTCGCAAGTCACCTAGTACGGTGGTGACTTCGGTGTGCCGCGGTGGAAGCGGTTGGCATCGCGCCCTTTTGTTTTGAAAAAGTTGGATGCGCGTATTCGACAATCAGCAGCCAGACACCCGACGATTGTTTGGGTACCCTGGTACAACAGCGGGGTGGTCGTTTCCACACCACTGCACGTGTGGCAACCGATGTTGGTAGAATTGGCGACGTGTTCCTGCGAGAAGAAGATATCGGAAGGACATAGTGCTACAACACGCCTGCACCGAAAATTCTGGGAAAGTCGCTGTTTGAGAGCAGAGTCTTGCAAGGGGAGGGTCTACAACCTAAACTTCCGTAAAAGGTGTGTGTGTCCGGGGCCTGGACGGCGTCACGGAAAATAATTCAAAAATTTATCATGTGTTCCGGCTTCTTTGGGCAGGTTCGGTATGATGTCATGCGTTATTTCGCGAAAACCAGCACGCACCACCAGCAAAACGCTTGCTTGGCGCGTGGCTGACGGATCATCGATCGTCCCAAACCCACGCCCGCACTTTTTGGGAAAATCCTCTCTTCACTTCGGGGTACTCGTCCGAGAAGGCGCGGTTGGGTTAACTGGCAACGCTGTGAAATACCCCAGCATGGTGACTTTCGTACGTGTGGCCATACATCCATCTTACGATGCGGGCATAGACCAACTCTCTCATGATGTGCACCACCTCGCCCATGAAAAAACTGGGCGAAATTCAAAGGTTACGGCAAACAGAGTTTGAACGTCTCGTCTACGTGCGGGAAACAGACCCAAGAAAGAGAGGGACCCTCCCTGCCGCAGGCATACTCATGTGGCCAAGCAGATTCAAGAACTCATAAGAGTCGGAGAATGCGGAGTATTCAGGTAGCGGGGGGTAGCCCTCGGGAGGGGCGTGAGGGTAGCAGATTGACGCGGCTCGATGAAGCGTGATACTTGTAGCATGAATACAGAGGTGATACTACGATCGATGAACTCAATGGCCCGTGGTTGGGCAAAACTGCCCACAAGCTACATGACACCTGTACAAACAACCCAGGAGATCCGAAACCAGTGCTCGATTGAGGATCATGTCTTTTACTCTTTTAGGAGTAGATACGATGCTCTCCCCCTATACGGTCGTACGTTCAAGGGCCAAACGACCAAAGGGAATGAGGTCCCATACTCGCCGCGGTGGCGAAAAACTTTGGACTTGAATGACGAATCGAAAGGCTGTCGCAAACCATCCCACCATCAACACCACAGCGGAGAGAAAGGTAAACGAGGCCAACTGCTGTAGGTGGTGTCGCTGTGAGGGGCAAGAACGGTTCGTATGGAGATGGATGGGTGACTATGTTTAGGCCATTGACGCCAAGCATAATACGGGTACATGCCACTCGCGCGCTACGGTCGATCTCGCCCGGAAGGCAAGGGTCTGGTTGGTCGTACCCTAAGTAATCGTTGAATCCTACGATTCGGTTATGTGGGCTCATGTTCGGCGTTCGCTGAGTACACATCTTCCGTGAACGTAATGAACGTGGATTCGTTGAAAACGCTGGTGACTGGAAAGCATTGCCATCGTCTTGGCCCACTAACGGCCGGAGTTGCGGGATCAACAGCACTTGAGTTGTGCCGTGAATCTCATCCCCTCGCGAAACACCGTGCCACAGCTCCCCAAACGATAGCTCGAACTCGCACATAAGGTAGAGGGTTGAACTCAAGAGTGTTGCATCCGGTTACAGCAGCGGTCTGCTTGAGGCTGCCCTCTCCCCACTGATCTGCCTTCCTCTGCCTAAAAGACCCAGAACGTCGAAATGTGCACCGGCCCCGGGACGAACAATAATTTTTCGACCTACTGTGAAGCAACCCCCCGCGCGCTAGTGTTGGCATGAGAGGATTTAATTTTCGCGCATGCATTGCTATTATCAAGACGCACGCAACCCGCTGAAAATTCATCGAAATCTGCCGGGCGTCAAGTACGTTGCTGTTCGGGATGGATGATGCTTAGATCCCGAGAACACGCATTCATACACATTCTCCGTCAGTTGGTGATGTTGCTCGCAGGACACGGCTGGTGTCGCTGCGCTCATGGTAAAAGAGAGAGAGAGGGGGGAGGGGGGGGGGTGTACTCATGGTCGTGCATGCCGTAGTCGTAGACCATTGACCTCGCATCCCTACAAAGTCGGGACGGAGCACGCCGGGTTCTCACCGGACCAGGCTCTCACATCACCAAGCGCGAAGCGCCATGAGATATTCGGCGAGTCGCATGAAGGGTGCGCTGCATCCTGCTAAGGGTTTTCGGCATCTCTTGCTTACTTCCTTGCCTACGGATGACAGCTGCGTACGACTTAATTTATTTTCTGGTGCTTTAACTTCCAGAGACAGTTGTAAGCATTGTGCAACTGCCTCGACAGAGCTTTGCCATTCTAACACAACGTGGTGCGATCATCCCCCTTGCGCGGAGTGGGGGTTCTCCACACCGCACAACATGGTCTACTCGACCACCATTATGGTTACCGCCAAAAAAAAAACGGAGGTCAAAAAAAAAAACGTTAACTTGGTTGCCGAGTTCACGAAGTGAATTGGCTTGATTTACAACGTCGTTGCCAAGCGACGAAAACCCAATCCCGATGGCAAACACCGGGGGGGGG